TGTACAAAAATTATGAAACTTCAACAAACTTTACCAATTACATTACAGCCAAAAGTTTTCCAATTTAGTAATTTTTTTTTAGTCATCCTACTAAAATTTAATTTTGCCGAACGTGTTGCAATTTTCTTCCATACACAAATAAATTGCGTTTATTCGTTATATGGAACCCAATACGACAAAAAAAAAACATCTAAAAAATCAACGGCAATTTTTAGCCACTTGCAACTGACACATTATTGGACTAAAATTAAATGGGCTATGAAACTCTATACTCAAATAAATCTGACACTTTTGAGAAAAAAGTTTTAATTTGGGTGAAAATTTGTTGCATTTTTGTACCTCTGCAATGGATTAATCGAGCGTTCCTAAGATGGGCACGCACATTACCTTTTATCTCAATAAAGAAGACCTCAAAATCATGTAATAGCAACTCTGAAAAATGTACGATAAAAGATGAATTTTAAGAACTCCTGTGGCGGGTAAATCTATGAGGTTCTGGTTCGGGTTCGCGTGAACTCACATTTTTATTTGGTCGTTTGCAATTTGTCCATTTTTTTTATCGGCACAAAGCAAGCAAACTTATTTTCTTTTAAGTTTATTCTTTTCCGCCGTGGTGTAATGGTAAGCAGTGCGCGCTTCCACTCCGCAGCACCTTGGTTCAAGCCCTGGTCAAAGCAACATCGCAAAAAAAAATGTAGAAAAAAGGTTTTTTCTAAACAGCGGTAATCCCTCGGCAGACAATGGTAAAATCTCCGAGTGTATGTCATGAAAACCAACTTCTAAATACAACATACGATTTTCATGAAACTTTGTGAGTACGAAAAAAACTAGTTTTCTAAAAGATGATAGGAAATTAAAGAATTAAAAATTTTTAAAACTTTAAATTTTTAAATAAATTTTGTTTAAATTTCTGTTGTGATTTTTATCGTGTTTAGGTGTCAAAATGTTCCTTACAATATTATTTGCTAATGTGCTCAAAAAAATTTTTGAGCAACGATATGGCTCTTGAGATATTAAATTTTTTAACATATGCCAACCACTATTTATGTGTTAAAGCCCCATATATATGAATTTCCAGGTTTACTCAAGAATTTTTTCCTGCTTGACCTTCAACTGACCAGAACCTAGCGTGATGGAGGCTAACGTTACGTTTTGATGTTACTATAAGGATACTGTTTCAGGGCTTATATATCTAGGATCATTGAAGAAGGCTTTAAGATCTGTAAGCTGTTGTGGAAAAAATTTGCCAAAATATTTTGTCCCGTATTCGGCTTTCATTGATATGGTCACCGTAATCATGG